CAACGTCAATTTCCCGCACCACGGTACCCCCTTTTGCACATGGGCGGTGTGGTGGGTGGTAATTGAGGTTGCTTCATGGTGTCAGACGGTGCAAAATTGCCCGTGCAAAGGCCACCATCATCAGCACCGTCGCTGCCCCAATCTACGACCCGCCTTGCGATCAGCCATCAGCTCCTCCCCCATCTGCGCTCCGACCCCCAGGCAGCCAGCATCATGACGTCACCTTCCACGCTTTAATAAACACCATATCGTACAACGGCATCCTGCCACCCGCTCGCGGCTGAATTTGCTTCCAACCCCCAGGCCAAGCACAACAAGCTGGCAACGGCGAGCGCTGCAAGCTCCGGGTAGGTACGTAGGCGGTGCCGTTATCGCCGCATGCTCAGGCGCCGTGCTTACAAGTGTTTGCGATACGATCTGCATTCAGCTGCGCGCCGCCCACCCTCGTGACTGGGCCCGATGCGACGTCCGGGTACGCCAGCTGTCATTTTCCACATTGAATGCCACTCGTGCCACTGCTTCGCGGCACATGCGCGCCGCAGCCCACTCCAACGCTGTCCGACGCGTTCCAAGAACACCGAGCACGCCGCGCGGCAATATGCGGTAGCATTGAGAGTGCCTCGGCAACGAAGCCGACGGAGCCATCTAAGCACGGCCAACCGCACCCGCCTAAGCAACAACTCTCGGAAGCAACAGCTTGGCAGTCGGAATTCCGGAGCTGTGGGTACTACTGTTCGGGCACGTATCCCACCTGTGCCTGCTTCGGACAACATCGACGAGTGCGAAGCCGGGTCGAGGTTACAGCTTTGCAGGGCGTGCGTAACAATCGTGGAGGTGCGCGCCCTCCATCGGCAAATCGGCAAAGCGAACTCGGCCTGCAGTTTTGCCGACCGTATCCTACGGAGGCGCTTACGCCAGAGCCCCATCGGGGTCCCGGGCACCTGCCAAGCACAGGGAGCTGTCGGCGGGGACCTCATGCAGTTTTAGGTGCGCCTGCGAGGTTGCACTCCCCTGCAAGCGGGAGTTCCAGCAACGATGCGGCGATGGCGGGCTGCGCAGCGATTGCCAGCAGGCCAGACCAGCGAGCAACTTAAGCAGCGCGGGCAGCCGCAGTGGCACAGGTACCTCCAAGGCCCGGGTCCCAGCGAGCAGGCGGAGCCAGGTGGCTGCTTCAGCACCAAACGGCCGCCGACTTCCACGCCGACAACTACCAAGCGGCAGCGACGGGTGCGCACGAATTCAGGATAAGTTTGACAGCGTTTGCGTCGCCATCGACGGCTCGGCCAGGGTGCAAGTCAGCAATCGTGAGCACCCGGCTGAGCGTGACTAACCTTGGTGATCGGGCTGAGGATGGTGGCAGTTACGGCTTGCTGCGAGCCATGCCCCATGGCCACTCCGTTCGCGACGACTTCGATGTGGCGGTCGTCGGGTACCGGCACATCGATGTTCAGGTCTCCCATGTTCAGGTCTGCCAAACAAACATGACGGGCAACCCGTGCGCCGGCTTCTTGGTAGACCCTCGCAGCAGGCCGGTCAAAAGGGAGGGCCCGGGAGGCGAGCACTCCGGAAGGTGCGCAGGCAGCCTGCCCCTCTGGCACGGAGCTCAGCTCGCCGTCGATGCGACCTTGGTTTCCCCGCTCACGCACGACGGCCTGCCACAGCCCGCGGCCGATGCGCAGCCGGGCGTTGCATTAGCCCGCGCGGTGCAGCGCAAGCGCCGGCACACCTATCCGGAGCTGCTTCGAGCTCGCCGCTGCCTCGTCGTCTTCGGCATCGAAACTGGTGGGCGCTGGAGTGAAGAAGCCGCGACCTTCCTCCGACTTCTCGCGCGGGCCCGCGCAGCCAGCGCACCTGTCGCCGTCCGACGCGCTGCTCAAGCCGCTTGGGTGTACCGTTGGAGCGGCATCCTCTCCGTTGCCGCGCAGCGAGCCTTCGCCACTTCGCTGCTCGAGCTTCCCGCTGCCGCAGAGCTCGGTGCTGCTGGTGACCCACCCGCTTTGCACGAGCTCCTGGCCGACGCACGCTGGCTGCAGGCCCCCGCTAACAGCCGCCTCCCAGCCCGCCCTGCCTAACCCGTAGACAGCAGTTTGCACAGGGACCGGACCTAGCACCTCTGGTGCTGTTGCAAAAAAGGGCGTTAAAAAAAAAGGCAGCCCTGTGTTCACCCAGCGGGTCAAGGCGACCACGGCAGGCGCACGGACGCGGCGCGACCGGCAGTGGCAAGCGAAACTGGCGCAGCATCAGGACGTGGAACTATGGCGAAGTGGCGAAGTTCACCGGCAGCTCAGTTTAAATGAGAGGGACGGTGAGGGCCCGTGCTGCATGCGGTCCGAAGCGCCCGCGATGCGGCATTAAAGCAAAAAAGATGAATTCAAGAGGGGGTTTATTACTGGCAAGGGAAGCCTGATGCGGCCAGCCCCGCAAAAAGTCGCCGAAGTTTCGGTCTGCTTGTTCATTTGGCCAGGTTTCGCATTGCCGCGTGATCCCCTCAAGGTTGAACGACGGCACAAAGCAGGGCGTATCCACCACAACACTCGGGTGACGTTGGCATCGCTGGCGCAGGATTGGCAAAGTGTCTACCCTAGATGTCGACTACGCTGCACCCCGGCCCTCCGTTGCAAGACGCAGCTCCAAACCCCCGATCTTCAAAGTCAGCACCGCGCGTCTGCTGTCCAGGTCGTTGGAAAGGCTTGATGTGGGCACGCCAACCTTTGACACGCACAAGCCTTATACCGCCATTGACAAATCTCACCTTGCCGTGCGCGCACGACGTTATGCATGCAGCGCAGTTCTCTCAATTTCACGGTTTCCAAACATCAATTTCGGAGGTCGTTTTAAGGGGGTGCCATGCCACGACATATGGGAAGGTGAATGTTAGACCGGGGTGGCAAAGCACCACTGCGGACCAACGCTTTCCAAAAAGTTTCGCAGACCTCAACGCGAGGACAACTGCCCCATCAAGTCAAAACGTTTGTGTCTGCTGCCAGCAGGTCGGGGTTTCTTTTCTTCACGCCCGTTTTTGCAACTGCGAGTTAAGCCACCCAAAAGCGAACGCGTTCGCTTCTCCATTCTGGAGCGGATTGCTTGTGCATGCTGTCTGACCGCGCCAGCCAACAGTGCATTACATGGGCAAGAAAGGGGGTGGTAGAGGATGGTGGAGGGTCCAGGCGTGTAGGATCGTCCGGAAACGGCACATCTCGAGTCATCAGTGAGTCATCCCAATTGCCCCAAAGCATTTTCGCTTGCGTTGACTGGCAATTAGCTGTTGTAACGAAAACAAGCTGCTTTTTGGCAGCCTCGCAGCCTGTGCGGTGCGACAGGGAAAATTAACTGCTTTGAACGGCCCTTCTGCTTGAGCATGCTGTTGCTCGCGTATGCCGCGAGGCCGGGAGTTGTTGATATGAACATCACTGTACTTGTCAGCGATTCACGCCGCATTGAGGTAGTCGCCAATGGCTTGGCCATGTGGCATCCGAGATCACAGCGCGAGGCGGCTCTGTATGATTGAAAAATGAGCGCGAAGGTGGTCCGGGAATGCTCGCCGTAGTTTGCTGTGGCTGTGATGCATGCCTTCGCGGCCTCCCTGCTTGAGGATCCGCCCTCCAGTGAGGCTTGCGTCGCGGGCGAAGTGCCGGAACTGTACACATGCTTGAAGGGTGTGGTGCGGCGGGGTTTTTGAAACGGGCCGACGAGATTGCCACGACGGAAGTTTGCCTCTCCGCAGCATCGAGCGTGCCCTGCGAGCCCCTGCTCCGGCCGAGGAGCTGCCACCCAGGGCTGGTGCAGACGCTGGTGGGGTCTACTCAGCGTGGCTGTGCAAAACACGCTTGCTGCCACTTTGCTCGGGTCGCCGCCCGTCCATGCCCCTATGCCTGGCGCGCAGGCACCGCCTCTGCAGGACGTCCTGCACGACGCGTGCCCGCCTGTGCCCAGCTGCCTGCCGGCTCGCTGAGCCGCTGCAGCCTCTTTGCTATGCCGTAGTTCGCAGGTGCACTGGGGCCGCGCGCGGATCGCCCGAAGAGTCCGTTGGGAAAAAAAAAAAGTTGCGAAGCCCAAAGCATCCCTAAATCACAAAACTATGGCCGTGCAAGCCGCACAGGCATCTTTGTTGAATGTAATTGTGCGAGTGCAAGCATATACAGTACATGGACTTGCCTGTACCACGCGGAACTTGCCTCGCCAAACCTTCGATCAGAATAACCAGAAGCAGTGAAACAGCTGCTAACCTACCCAGAGTTACAGCAGTCCTGTCGGCTTCAGCGGCGGTCGCTTCAGCAGTGCTTCAGCCGTAGCACGAAAGCATTCCGTTCGCCACCGTGCTCGTCAGTTGGCACCCTCGGCTGGGCGCTGCTAAACGGTCACTCCCATGACTTAAATCTGCGCCATTCGCAGATGGCACGCTCATGCGCGCGCATTTTTGTCGCTCCTTGTAGCGAAACCTCTCGAAGGACAAAGCTCGCCGCCCAGCAGGTTGCTGCGCTCACAGCAGATTGCAATGGTGCGGCCGAGTGCCTGCGACGGTTACGGAGATCGAAATTGCGCGGCCGAGTGCCTGCGACGGGCGGCGTTCATTGATGTCCACCGAATCAACTTTATCCTGTATGAGCCGTCGCCCGTCAGTGACCTTCCCATTCTCTTGGCTAGGATGAGTGTTCAGCTTTTGGTGTTGGACGCAAGTCGCAAAAAGATGGGTTGGGAGGAGCTTGCATCGCAGTTTGTCGTTGCTCGGGCATGTTTCGCACTGTGATGCGGCCATGGTTCCCAGCAGCTTAATAATATTTGTTGCAGCAAGGAAGCTGAATGCACAGCCGGCAGCGCCCTTCCTGTTCGCGTTTTTTTTTTACTGGTATTGTACGCTTACCGTCGCTTGCATGGCGCACATTCACTCTCATGCTTGACCTTCACTCTCATCCTCACCTTGACCGGCTGGCTTTGGGCTTGGATGTAGCGGGGCCGGCGTGCGAAAGGGCCGGTCACAGCGGCGAGCTTCGCACCTCGCGATGGATGAGGCTTGCTTCTTGATTCATCGGCCACACGTAAGGAATGGTAATGAATGGTATGGAGATGACCTCAGTAAGCTTGACCTTTTGCTGCTTGGTCAAGGTCGTGAAGACAGCTGTGGAAACGTTGGCCGCGGAAAGCTCAAACTTCGTCGAGTCGCTCTGATGCAATTCGTTCCATCACGTTTTCAGAAAACGGTGACGAATCATTGTTGCATGTTGTGCATCAGGATCAGCAAAATCAAGGGAGATGCCAAAGTGCGGGTCCAAGCGTGGCATGGAAAAACATGCACATGAAGTAAAGATCCAAACGCCACACAGTGGTCAGGTGCGATCATACTTCCGACGGGTACTATTTAAGCCGCCGTGGGAGGATGCCACTTGGGTTTCGGCCTCGGTCGGTCGTTCGTTCATGCTGCTGGCATCCGGTGGCTGCCGACATATACACGAAGACACATACTGACAGTCGTTCGTGCGGCATGTACTAGGAAGCATGCATCGCTTGAAAGGTGATGTATTTCCAGAGCCGGCCCACGATGTGGGAATTCGTCGCAGCCTGAATTTGCATTTGCAGTACGCAGCACAGAGGGGTGGCATGCAATCCTGCAAGGACGAGAAAAGCATGGGAGCAAAAGTGAAGTCAGATCTTGCGACACAGATCGAGGCAATGGAACGCGTGGTTTCATGTCGACTTGATCCTACACGCCAATATATGTATACATATAACCCTGCAAGTAAAAGCAAGCCACAGCTTAGACTTGAAAGGAAGCGGCCCGCTTGAAGCGCCGGAAAGCCGCTTTTCCAGAGGCCATCCAGGAATGCGTGCAAATAAACCTTAAGCCCAACACGCAAACTCCCAGAACCCCAAAGACCGAAACCGAAAGCCAATTATGTGGCCGAAGATGGGCTGCGAGAAGTATCGGGGTCAAGTGAATGCGAGTTAGAACCCTAAACCCTGAGCTGCAAGTGTAGTCCACGCGCGCCGAGAACCTTGTCTGGCTGTGTAAGGGTTGCAAGAGCATAAATCCTGAGCCAACAACTTATACTATAACCCCAACAGCTGCCCAATTTCGGCAGGCATTGTACACAGCGGTGCTGCGTGCTGGAACGCCGGTCGAGACCTCCGCTGTCATAGCGAACTCCAAGGACAGCGAGGCCGGAGAAGTTTTTAGGGTTTAGGGTGTTAAGGCCTGGATGCAAGAGGGTGTTAAGGTTAGGGTTCAGGGTTTAGGGTTCTTAAAGTCAGCTGTCCTGGCGTGACGTTGCAAGCCAGTTGCAAAAGGGTTTAGGAACCATCTATCGTAACCCCCTTGTACCGTAATAGGCGGTTTTACCATTCAGGGGTCTACATTACGGTTGTGAAAATCTGCTGCCTGCTAACTCTGGAGATGTTGTTCTTCCTAAATATGCGTTTCAAATCCGTTTGGGGATCCGCTTTGGATCCGTCTTGAATCTGTTTTGGATCAGTTTGGCGATCCGTTTCCGATCCGTTTGGGATCCAACCCAGCCGGCCCCAGCCCCGCCGGCCCGGCAAACGCATCCAAAACGGATCCCCAGACGGACTCCCAAACGGACCCCCGAATGGGTCCTGCGACGGAGCCCCGAACCCACGTTTCTTTGGAGACGGATCCAAAACGGATTCCCCGATGTACCCCAAACGGACCCCCAGATGGGTCCTGCGACGGAGCCCCGAATCCACGTTTCCCTGCAGAAGGATGCGTTTTTGATCCGTTTAGGATCCGTTTTCGATCCGTTTCGGATCCGTTTGGAGATCCGTCTGCAAATCCGTTTTCCCGCCGGAGCTGGGGCCAAAACGGATCCAAAACGGATCAAAAACGCATTTCCCCCCATGTAGGCTTCTGCACAACAACCCAGTGTTAGCAGAACCACTTTTTCACAACCATTACGGCAGAGCCCCCGAAGCCCCCTGAAAAACTCTTAAACCTTTTTCATTTAAGAAGGCCTAAGCCGCATGGTTTACGTTGTACAAGGGTCTGGGGTTCAATGAAAAGATGAATCGGACGAAATTTCAATCAGCTGCAAGTAGAATACGTACAACCCCAAAGATCACGTACTTATTAGGCTCCTGATGAGGCAGCTGGGGGTAGTGATATCTCCACGCAGATTGCGCTCATGTCTTCCTGATCTGTGGCAAGTTACCCCACGTGGCATGACGCGGCTGTGGCGATCATACCCAGAGACTCCAATATCCCTTAATTAAGGAAGATTCCTTAAATCATAGTGAAGATCCTATCATAAATTAAGGTATATTCCTTAATTAAGGGGTATTGGAGTCTCTGCGTACGGGCCGACATGGACCCACGGAACTTGTTCCCTTAAACCACAAACAAACGCACAAGCCTCAAGCCCGAAACCTAGACTTAGTAAGCAGGGTTATAAGTAAGGTAACTATAGATATATTCACTTCTAACCCTAACTAAGGTAGCTCCAATCCCCAAGCCGTGAAGCCGGGTGACTTCTTGAAAACATTCAAAATCAACCCCCTCGGCCAAAACTAAACTTGATCCCCAAGCCCGAAACTCGTTGAAACTCGGAACTACGGAAGAACATCTAAACCCTAACTGGGCCCTAACTTAAACCCGCCAAAGTGGGTGGCCATTATTCTGCACACTTTTGGGGTCCAAAGCAGGCCCTAATCTCCGACGTCCTGAACCCGAAACCCTCCCGAAGGAATCCCCCTAAACCCCTAAACCCTAAACCCCTAAACCTCTAAACCCCTAAACCCTAAACCCAAAACCCCAAAACCCTTAACCCCTAAACCCGTAAACCCCAAAACCCTAACCCCTAAACCCCTAAACCCTAAACTCCTAAACCCTTAACCGTCCCTTCCCCTCGCTTTAATCGCCAGATTGCGGCCCTGCCCATGGATGCCATCGAGGCCCTGATCGGCTCTCTGGGCAACTTGCCGGAGGCCCCCAGGAAAGGGCGGGTTTAGGGTTCCTTTAAAGGGATCCTATAGGGGTTCCCTTAAAGGGGTCTATAAGGGCCCTGTGGGGATCCTTAAGGAGTTCCTTAAAGGAAACACCAGGAAGGTAACCCTTATGAAGGGGATTTACGGTTCCGTTAAAGGGATCCTCTAAGGGTTCCCTGAAGGGGTCTCCAAGGGTACTGTAAGGCCCCTATAAAAATCCTAAGGAGTTCCTTTAAAAGGATTGCATGTAGAGTTTAGGGCTTATCGTTTAGGATTTCCTCTAAGTATGGGGATCCCAAGAAGTTCTTTTAACGGACTGCAATGTAGGTAACCCTTATAGCGATCCCAAGGAGTTCCCTCAAAGGACCCCAGGTAGGTATTTCTTGTGGTGGCCCGTAAAGGAGCCGGTTGAGGCTTGTGTAAGGTGTCCTACAAAGGGAGGCCCCTAAATCGAAGCCTAAGGAATGAGATCTGCTATGTCTGAAAGGGGAAAAGAGGGACCCTTACTGGGGACCGCTACCCTATAGTGGGCTATATACTGGGTATATAATAGCTATGTTAAGGGTATATACCTAGGGGTCCTTATTAAGGGTCCCTCCTTTTCCCCTTTGAATGTCTTAGGAGTCTTAGGGTTTCCTTGTTACGACGATCTGGTCCATCCGAAAACAGGCCCTTGTGCAGATGCTAAGGGTCCTTCCTGTTGAGGATGCTCGAGTGTCCAAGGCTTCGGGGATTTCAGGGCTTTTAGGGGGGGTTTGGGCGAGAAGCCCTAAACGCAAAAGCTCTAAAGCCTTGAACCCTTTCATTACTAGGAGGGTTGGGGGACTTAGGAAGTAGGGCTAGGAGTCAGTTAACTACCTACGGTCATATCTGCCTATAATCCAAATTAGGATACTTATAACCGCGCCTTTCTGAGTCCCCCATCCTCGAAGTATACCCTTGAGCAGCAGCTCCTAAACCCTGAAACCCAACTCCTAACCCTCAACCTCAAGTCCTAAACCCTAAACCCCCAACTCCTAAACCCTGAACCCCACACTTTGAACCGCCCCCTTCATGCATCAGATCGGTAGTTGTTAAGTGTCCCTTTAAAGGGATCTTTAGGGTTTAGGATGCGTCTCCTCTGAAGCTGGGGATATCGATGCTGCATGTCGGCCTTGGTCAAGATGATTGGGGTCTTAAACTGGCTAGACTTGAGTCCAGTGGCAAAAAAAGGGGTGCTTGTGCTGCAGTCTGTGGATCCTCCCACGCTGCAGAAGCATGCGGAGGCCTCTGCCGGACACTCTGCGCTTCAGCTCTCTTCTTCTGAGGGTCTCTCGGGTTTCATTGGGCCTGGGTAGGGTTTTATATGGCTTTATACAGGGTTTGACAAGTTTGATTTTTTTTTTTTTTGTTTTTGTTTTGGGGCTGTCGGCCTTCAGCGTTTTATGTGATGGCTGATGTTGAAATCAGGGGCCTGGAGGTCGTAGAAGGCCTTCATGTTTGGGGTTCAGGGTTCAGGGCTTAGGGGTTTAGGGGTTTAGGGTTTAGGGGGTTTAGGGGGTTTGGGGTTCAGGGTTCGGGGAAAAGGGTTTAGGGGGTTTAGCGTTTAGGGGGTTTAGGGTTTAGGGGTCTGGGGGTTTAGAGGTTTAGGAAAAAAGGGTGCAGGGTTTGGCCACAAGGGGTTCAGAATTTGGGGTTCGGGTGCTGTAGGTTAGGGGAGTATGTGTTTGGCTAGACTGTGCTGCTGGACAACGAGGCCTGTTGCAAAAAGGGTTTAGGGTGCAATCTCATCTTAGCCTGCTCTGCTTTGCTGGCGCCTAAACCTTCCTAAACCCCTAAACCCCTAAACCCTTAAACCCTAAACCTTAAAGCATAAACCATCAACCCTAAACTCAGCAGCTGCTGAGGTCAAGGTCATCACGGCCGTGCCTGGCTCCCTCGAGAAAAAGGCCCGGCAGTGATGTTCTGCTACCAGCAAATAAGAGTTTCCGCAAATTAGGTGTACCTTAAGGTCCCTGTAAAGGTATCTATAAGGGTTGCTTAAAGCGATCTATAAGGGTTCTATAAAGGGTTTAGGGTTTAGAGTTTCCGAAATTTAGGGGTACCTCCTTTTGGGGTACTTGTAATAATGATCCTGCTGTTTAAGGCTACTCTTTTAGGGTCCCTTCTTTTCCGGAAACTCCCAAATTAAAACCGGATACCCAAGAGCCCAGGAGGCCCAAGAGGGTGACAAGCGCTAGAGTCACTACTTGGAGGATCAGGAGACTTAGGAAGTAGGGTTCTAAGTAAGGTAACTATAGTTATATCTACTTATAACCTTAATTAAGGTACTTAAAACCCTACTTACTAAGTCCCATGATCCTCCAAGTAGAGGAGAAAGGTGCTGCGGTGTTGAACCGCGAAGCCCTACCTGCTCTCGGCCCTGATCGGCTTGCAGCTGCTTAACGTAGGTTACCTATGCTATTCTAATTTTGGAGGATTCCAGGTTATGATTCTAGTATAATGGGCCCCAAAGCCCTATTCTAAGATATTCAGGCACCTATAGTTGTCTAGAAGAGCAGAGCCTGACAGGGCGCCACACTGGGCAGGCGCCTCAGGAATCGCTCTGAGTGGGTTTCTCTCAAGAGGCCAATACCCCTTAATTAAGGAATATAGCTTAAATTATATAGGGCTTCATATTATGATTTAAGCTATATTCCTTAATTAAGGGGTATTGGGCTCTCTGGGAGACGCTGCAGATTGGGCGGTAAGATCCATGTAGCACAAGCTGCCCGTGGGTCCGCGGATCTTCACAACCGAGGTGACATTATGAGGTTCTTCGACATGGTCATGAAGTTCCAGCCAGATACTGTCAGGACCTCAGGCCGATGAAAGTTGAGGCTGAATTCTGAGATTCCGGGGATGGCTTGAACGGACATGTTATGAGAATTTCAAGGTATTCTACCCGACTGCATGACCTAAGATCGAGCCATGAAACCTCGTGCCATGGACCCTTCTTCAAGCCCTGAGGCCGATCAGCGGCTAACTCATCAGCGAATCTTGACGCTCAGAGAGCTCTGCGAGGTTTTCGGTTTGCCATTGGGGAGGGTAGAGTATGTCCAGGGAGATCAGCAAAGTTTTCTTGCTTTGCAGTGCTTAGGTGTCTGTGAATGTATGTTTCCGCGCCTTTACACCACGAGCTGGGCTTGACTTTTGAGTGAGTACACCTTACACTTTTTGCGATAGGAGACTAGAGCCCCTTATGGAACTGACAGTGTAGATGTTTTGGGACGTATCAATGAATTCAGCAACTAAGCTTTACTAGCTCTAGACACTAGAATTTCGGGCTTGGCAGTTCAAGGCATGGCTCGAAATCTCAAGCTTGAACCCCTAAGCCTAAAGCCTAAACCCCAAAGCTCTAAACCTTTATAGAACCCTTAGCCCCAAAGCTTCACCCCAAAGGATTCCTGGTAACCCTATGTCGTCGTGAAGTCTAGCGATATCCGTGGCCTCGAGAGCCCCCGTTGGGCATGAAGCGTTCCTCAACTCCAAAGCCTGAACCCTCGGTTAAAAGACACGAGGGTTCAACAAAAAAAAAAAACAAAGCCCTAAGCCAAAAACCCCCGGCCTCGTCCTTGCCAAATGGGTAGTTGTCAAAATTACGGTCCCTTTTGGGGTACCCTGAATAATAGGGGCCGTGCTATAATAGGGACCAAAAAGGGACCCTAATTTTGACAACCACCCAAATAGGAAAAACCCTAAACCCTAAACTTCGCAGCTTAAGCCCTGCAGCGGCTCCCGAAGGCTGCAGCCAGAGATATCCGCAAGCAGGGTGTGGGCGCCACGGGAACGAAGGCCACTGTTTAAGTGTACGGTTTAGGGCTTAGGGTGTAAGGTTTGGGGTTTAGCAGTGGGGTACTGGCATTCATCCAGTCCAGGTGAAAAAAAGGGTTGAGGGTTAGTAACTACCTCAAGTAGGGTGATAAGTACACGTATCTACAGTAGCCTTGAGGCGCCCAAAGCCCATTGATCCCATGATGCGAAGCCCAAAGCCCCAAAAGCCTCAGGCCCCGGACCCCGAACCCAGAATTTAACACCTTAAAGCCTAAACCCTCGTTTGAGGTGAAAAGTGGCTCACTGTGGTTGCTTCGCCTTGATTTCGGTAATTTTCAGCAGCATCTCGCTTACCTGGCAAAGAGGCGCTTAAAAAAAGCCCTGGACCCGGAACTCTAAACCCTTCTGAGTTTGAGCACATGCTTTCTGAGTGTCGTGGCCTCGTAAGAGGCTGTGTTTTTGCAGTTCTGAGTGCACGCCTGATTAAGGCGGGCTGGCGAGACATCAAAAGTCCGATGCACTAAAAAAAAACTCCAGACCCTAAACCCTGGACCCACCCCAAAAGCAAGTTTGAGCTAGGCCCTCGGCCTTCTTTGCTCCACGGCGCCATTCCACATCCTGGCCTTGACGTTAGCAGGCGCTCGCAAAGGTTTCTAGAAAGGGTATTTGAAGGTTTTATAATCGGGTTCTTTTAAAGGGTACTTCAATGTTCTACGATAGGGTTCATTTTTTGTGCAGATAGTTCCAGGTTCAGGATCTAAGAGGTTGAGTTTGAGAAAACCTGGCTGAGAGTCTAAGATTTGAATTCAAAAGTATTGGGACTTGGTTGAAAGTTTGAGGTGTATTTATGCTTACGGTCATTACAACCCAGCTAGTTTGGGTAGGTGCTAGATGTTCTGTTGCTAGCCAGCTGGCTAGTTACAACCCTGCTCCTCTTCCTACTACTACTACTACTACCACTGCTACTGCTGCTACTACTGCTACTACTACTACTACTACTCCTACTACTACTACTACTACTTCTACTACTACTCCGGCTGCTACTACTACTACTACGACGACGACGACTACTACTACTACTACTACTCCTACTACTACTACTACTCCTACTACTACTACTACTACTACTACTACTACTACTACTACTACTACTACTACTATTACTACTATTGCAACTACTATTGCTACTACGAGGACGACTGTTAATACTGTTGCTGCTGCTGCTGCTTCTGCTGGTGTTACTGCAGCTACTGGTGCTGCTGGCAGCACATTAATGTTACTACTACTGCAGCTGCAGATGCAGTTGCACCTTCTATTTGTGCTGCTTCTAAAGCGGCTACATCTGTTGCTAGTCTTATTCCGCAGCTGTTTGTTTGCCGTTGTTGCATCTGGCTTCAAGCATCCTGGAAGCTTGCCTTCGCCGTAGGAAGCAAGACTTGCCGAGTAGCTGCTTCATCATGGCTGCAACCGGCGAAGGCGTCATGCTTAGTCTTTCAGGTTTAGTGCAGACGTAGTTCCGATTTCCCAAGGCCTCAAGACCCTTAGCCGGAAACGGCCCCAAACCGCAGAGGTTTCCGCGCGGCGTAGGAGCCAGGAGTCAGAAGCCCTAGATGCTCAAATCGGAAGCCTTGAACCAGCCTAGGGCCGAAACTTAAGACCCAGAGAGCTTAAGACCCATTATTTCATGAATATACCTTAGATCACAACATGGGTAGTTGTCAAAATTATGGTCCCTCTTTGGGTACACTAAATGTTAGGCGCCGTATTATATTAGGGATCCAAGAAGGGACCATAATTTCGACAACCACCCACATTAAACTGTGGTGAGGGGTATTTGGATGTCTGGGTAAGCCATGAACCCGAAGCCTCGACTCAAAGAAAACCCCGGAGCCAGCTTGCGCTTGACAAGTTCGCGAAGTCAGCTGCAGAATTCTAGAGTTCAGGGTTTAGGGTTTAGGTTTCAGGATTTAGGCTTTAGGGTTTACGGGTGCAGAATTCTAGACAGATTCAGGGTTTCGGGTTCAGGTTTAAGGATTTAGGCTTCGGGGTTTACGGGTGCAGCAGCTCTGAGATCAGGCGGGCATGCACAAGTCTGTGCAGAAGAAGGGGTTTATTCAACCAGGTTCGGGAGCTTCATTGCTAAACTCGGAAGTTTAAGCTTTGAGACGCTACGAAGGTGAGTGGCTTATCAAACTTGAGCGCGGCTGGAGTGCATGGATGGTGGGCGAGCAACCGTTCCATGGCTCTACGGATGAGTCCTTCCGGTACAATTTCGGCAAAACGGAGTTCCAGGTGCTGACCCCGTACTACTCGCAACTCACTAGTATTGTGACCGTTATCCTTCCTTGTTTGCATTGACAGATGCTAGTGATTTTCTGTTTTTGTCGTCGATCATCAATTATTGTTCTCTTTCGGGCTTCCTTATGTCGCAATCATGATTCGGCGATGATCCAAGCTTAAGGGTAACAAACTAAACCCCTCAACCCCAAAACCGTAAGCTTGAAACCCTAGCCCCAGACCCCCAAACCCTAAACCCTAAAAGTTTAAATCGCGAGCGGGAATAGACTTCCAAGCATTGCGAGAGAAAAAAGTTTAAATCTTAAACCCGAAGCCCTCCAAATCCTGAACGCCGAACCCGAAACCCTACTTAGAGGATCATGGTACTTAGTAAGTAGGGTTATAACTACCTTAATCAGGGTTACAAGTAGATGTACCTATAGTTACCTTACTTATAACCTACTTACTAAGTCCCCTGATCCTTTAAGTAAGCAGGTCGACTTCTCGAGCGCGAGGGAAGGTACCTCTACAAATTTGTCGACGGGAAAAGCCCGGCAGATTTGCTTTGTGCCACGAGGCCAGGCACTATTTAGGGCTGAAGGGTTTAGGGTTCAGGGTTGAAGGGTTTGAGGTTTAGGGTTTCAGGTTGAGGGTTTTAGGAGAAGGGTTGAGAGCTCTTCGTCCGGGGTTTGGGGCTTGTGCTTTTTTGGGTTCTGAAAGTGGAGCTGCGCTGAGCACGTGCTGTCAATTGCAACCCCACTCTGATCTTTAAGGCCCCCAGTACGCAAGCCACACTCCCCGAGGAAAAGAACCTCGCGGAACACACAAACGCCCTGAACCCCAAACCTAAACCCTGGAGCCAGAACCGTAAACCCCGAACCCTGTACCTTAGGCCAGTCACCTCCTGGCATGGAGCGCGAGCCGGAGAGCTCCATGCAGCCGCAGGCACCTCGACATTCCAGATGCCTCCAATGTTTCTGAAGGCTTCAGTTGAAGCAAACCGGACTGCAAGCCAACAACAATAAAATCTATGCTTCCTGCGCCCGACTGTGTAGAGGCATGCAGTCGGCAGCACTTGCCATTCCCCCAATTCTCGAAGCGGTTTTTGAGAATGGTTCTCAATGTCTTCGCCAGGCAGCCAGTGGCTAGTATGCCACAGCATGTACTTGCTAGATTCTGTCAATTCGCGGCTAGACCCTCAACCGAAGCTCAAAAGCTGCACACCCGAAGCTCCGGGTACCCTAAACCGTAAACAAAAGACTAGACCCTGAACCCTAAACCTTGACATCGCCCCTCCGGCCTGTTCACCCGCCCAGTACAGATTCTGGTGCCGGGCCGTGCTAAACTTCTCCGCATCCTTCCAACATTTCGCGGAAAGTTGGTGGCCACAGGAGATAAACTCATGCCCTGCAATGCGATCGCAAAGGATGAAAACCGATAAATCCCAAGGCCTCAGTCAATCCTACAGCACCACGCCCAAAACTCCAAGCCCAAACCCCGAACCCTAGGATCTTCTCTCTCTAGTCGTAGTTGGTTCAGACGAGTTCCCTGCGGTGCGACATTGTTCAGCTGGGCGGGTGGCAAAAAAACCCCGAACCCTGAAACCCAAAACCCTGCACCCTAATCCCTGAACCCTGAAAGCCCTATTATAGATCCGTTTTAAAGGAGCCTTTATCGGATCCCTTTAAGGAACCCTTAAAAGGATCCCTGTAAAGGATCCTTAAACGAAGGTGACAGAGGCGACCGACCGACCGATGCAGGCAACGAAGGCGGATAGCAACCTCCCCACGTGCGCCCTGACCTTGCCAGGGTTTAGGGTTTGGGAGTTTAGGGTCCAGGGAGTTTAGGGTCCAGGTGCAGAAGGGTGTAGGGTTTAGGGGTTTAGAGTTTAGGGTGTAGGGTTTAGGGTGTAGGGTTTAGGGGATAAAAGGTTTAGGGTATAGGGTTTAGGAGTTTAGGGTTTAGGGTGTAGGGTTTTGGGGTTTAGGGTTTAAGGCGCTAAGCATGTTGATGTTGCAGCAGATGTTTGTTTTGTGGTTCTTCTTTCATGTGGGATTTAGGCCAGCTTGCTGTGAGAGGTTGTACGAGTGTCGGAGTTTAGGGGCGGTTGTGCAAGCTGGTTTGATAACTGAGGGTTTGTTTGTGCCTCGCTGTAAGAGTTGGTCACCTATTCACGGCGGCGCCCCATGCACATGCTAAGATCTGACACAAGGCTATTACCTCGCAGCTGGCACATCCAGCCAGTCCTACGACGGAGAGTACCACTGGCTCATTGAGCTCGAAACTTTGTCATAGTTGGGTAACATTTTGCATTTTTATTGGATGCATAAGCCTAAGCCCAATAAGGAATACAGATTAAAATGTTTAATCCTATCCCAACCATGAACTAGGAAAAGGGCTGGAGCCCCTGGATGCCGGGCAACGAGCCCCAGCTGCTGTTCAGAAGTGTGCTTTGATCGGATGAATAGATGGAACTTTCCGAAAATCAGGGGTCCTTATAATCAGGATCCTACTATTCAGGGTACTGTATAAGTGTCCCGTAATTTCGGAAATCCCCAGATAGATGTCCATGCTAGTGGGAATTTTGGCGCCTTACCGGTTGATCTTTCTCAAAGCAAGCCAGGAGCCCTTTGATGGCAATACGGATCAGCCTCTTCGGTACACCCTTGGACGGTACGACTTCGAAGTCCACTTCGAGGACGAAACCCACGGAACGCAGACCAACCTTACTACCGGGAAGGTGAGGCGCATTCAGTGCTTAAGGAAGGGAGAGCCCGTCCCCACCTGGGAAGGCATCCTGGTGAATCTTTCCTAGTTTCTTGTTTCTGGCTTTTGAGAAGCGTAGTAATGATAGCTAGCAGTTAGTAGTAACTGCGTCATGTCCCAGGCACGGGAATCCGAAGACGGCCTGCCAATGGCGCCGGAGCCGAGTTGGCAGCAGCACCGGCCGAGTCGGCCGCCATGGCCGCGCAGTCAGACCGTTTCGGGCGGCGAGCACCGGCTGCGTACCCTTCTGCAACCACTGGGGCACCGGTCAAGGGAACGCAGAAGTTTTCGCTCCGCACCTCCAAGCCAGCGGCCACCACGCGGCCCCAAGTTTCCGAGGCGGCACACAATGCGAGTGTCCCGCTGCGGAGTCCCGGCTCCACTCCCGGCGGGACGATGCCACGCTTCATGCGGCCACTGAAGTCCAAGCCTTGAGATGGTAGCATTGCTGGTAGCTGGTAGGTCCAGAATTTGCATCGAAGGTTCTTGGACCGCTCGCTTGCTCAGGCACGTGACCTGACACGCGGAAGAGGTGCCAGGAATTTGCACGATTGTCTTCGGTATAAGTTAGCCCTTCGCATCCTTTGGGTATCTGTACAGCACTCGAGGTTCTGCGAAGTTAGCCGCAGAAGACACAATGCCTTCTGCACCTGCGCACTCCATCTGCGCAAGAGAGCTTCGAAGAAGCCTCATCTGCACTGGCAGGCGCTTACGTTGTTTGGATTTTACTGGAAAGCTGGAATCTGCAAGCTTGATGACGGTCTTCTTGTTCTGTGAGCTTGCTGTGTTCTTGCTAGAGCTCAGTAGGGATGCCTAGTCTTGATCTCATGCCCCCTGTCGTGTTCGGAACAAGGCCTTGGCCCAAACCAATTAAGGAATATTCCTGAACTTATGGTAGAATCCCTAACAGATTTGATAGGAGTATTCCTTAATTAACGGATTTTGGAGTGTCTGGGAAGATGCCCCGGCTCGCCGGAGATCCCCAAGCCCTTGCAAAACACCGTGCAAACTCCACGCAAAGCAAGCGACGAAGACGCGAAGCCCACAGACCCCTACAAGGCTAAGCGGCTGGCCTTCGCAGGATATCGGGTTAAGGTTTAAACTTCAACCCTAAATCTTAAACCTGAACCAAGCCCAACCCCCCCCCACTCCCAACTTCAAGACCGATCCCCAAGCCCTAAACCCCTAAGCCAGGGAGCGTAAATCCCGAGACCCCGAACCCTTAAACCTCCAAACCCAGACAGAACTCATAGCATGCCTGAATCTACTCAATAAGTTGGTAAACGAACTCGCAGTACCTACGACTGCAGACCTTGCCAGGCTTGTCCGAGTGTGAGTGTCAAAAAACCTCCAAGCCCTAAACCCAAAACCCAAAACCCCACTTCAAGACCAGGCCTCGGGGAGAAGGGTGAGGGCGATGACGTCAAGGCGTGTGCGCTTGCCTCGGAGAGGACCTCGTGAGGATGCCTTGGGGACATTTTTTACCGTTTTAATTCGATCAGATCGAAATTTTGATCCGTTTTGATCTTTTTTGATCTATTTCGATCCATTATGATCTAATTAGATCTGTTCTGATCGATTAAGATCGGCTTAGGGGCTTTGGCATTTGGGGGTTTCGGGTTCTGCTGCCGTGCTAAGCAAACAATGTTTTGATTTCGGCGGGTTCAACCCGTGCTGCCGAGGCCAACTTCATTGAGCGAGTCAATGCAGCGGTGCTGGAAGCCTTGCCGGCAGAGCCAAAGCCTTACAGGGTTTGCTTTACCGGCATGACCTTTTGGCACCGCACTCAGTGAACTTGTTTTGTGGATAGGGTCCTATTGCATGGGAGTTTGTCTGTTCGTTTTAGCTTCATGTGGGTGGGAATTCACGGGTTGGGATCCATGCCATGTCATCTCGCCGCTGCATGCCGCAGCCTTCAATTCCTCGAAATACTTGCCTTCAGCTTTGAAACCAATGGCCGATAGCCCTAGCCAGCAGAGCCGTTCAGCCCCCTACAGGAAGCAACTGAAATGCAGCGAAAACAGAAACCCTACCCAGCTAAACCTTAAACTCCTAGCCTCCTAAAGTTGTAGAGGCCTGCAGCCTTACATCCTTAAACCAAAACCCTAGCCGTCAAACTGGGTTAGCTTGGCTTACATGGTGTGTTCCCTCCTAAGCCCCCGAACCCCAAAACCTTAAAGCACCAGTAACCCCGCCAAGCTTGTCACAGTTGTTGTGAGTGTGCTGAAACCCTAACGCCTAAAGCCTAAGCCCGAAGCCCTAAAGCTCGAAACCCCCCTAATTCCCTAAACCCCCAAACCTTAAACTGAAGACCGGTCCCCCACCGAAGGAGCCCGCGCGGCCACCTGAAAAGGGCTTGCCTCGAGGTCTTGGACCTAAAGTTCAGGGGCTGACTCGAATAGCCGCACTTCAGCCTATCCAAAGATAACCCTTAACCCAGCGTGTTTTAACTGTGGATGCCTGAAATCCTTTTCTGGGGCCTTTGAAGAAGAAGAAAAAGGAGTTCGCTTGTCCTGGGGACAAAGAAGGAGGACCTGACAAAGGGCCAGTTCGCTCATTTTGGGGACATTGAAGGAGGACTTCCCGGAGAGCCAGTTCGTTTATCTTGGGGACAGGGAAGGAGTACCCGCTGGAGGGCCAGTTTGCTTCTCTTGGTGGGGACAAAGACAAAGACGGAGTGCCTGCAGGAGAGCCAGTTCGCTCACGCTGGGGAGGCTGGGGACAAAGACGGAGGACCTGCCAAAGAGCCAGTTCGCTTGTCCTCATGACATGTGTGCGCAGACAGCTGCGACTGCATTTTTTCTGGTGTTTCAACATCAAAACTTTTAACTCGCTTTGTAAACTGGCCGGATACTGACACTTTCCTTTGAGCTCCCTTTCGCCCGCGCGTGCCGTGTATGGATCAGAAACTTCGAGCAGGATGAAGACCCTCGTGAGCAGAAAACGAAAGATGACAGCTTCTTCTATGCAATGCCGTTGCACCGATACTACAGCTGGGAAATCCACCTCCATCTTCTGCCAGGCAGCCGCTCAAACTACTTGGTGAACGATGTTGTTCACGATCATGTGGGAGTCGTGTCCTGCGTGCTGCCGGCTCCTGCATTGGGGAAGAGGAGGTGCTCCGACGCCAGATGCAGCTCCAGATGCTATCTGGCCCTTCACGCAGCCTGCATCTAGCGAGAAGTATGACATCCTCGACTTTCTTGGCAGTGGTGCCTTCGGCGGTGTCTTCAAGACATCGCTCAAGCCCGTGCCATGGTAGGTACGGGCTGTGAAGATCGGTCGGGAGTGCGCCTCGGAGATGGAAATCCTGCCTAGGCTCCAGCATCCGCGGCTTGGCGTGCAATACACACCAACGAAGCCGCTCGAATCCCAATGCGCACATGGAGAATGTCATTATCACGTTTGAGCAGGGCTTTCAGAAGCTGTTTCTTCCAAACCATATAAGCCCCCTTGATAGAGGGTAGACAACCTTAAACCCGTTCAAGGTTTGTAGTTTGGGTGGGAGGGCGGGCATTGCAGCTCATGCGCCGACCCCAACCGCTTCCTAGAGGGGCCGACAAAACCCCAACCCCCAAACCCCTAAATCCCTAAACTAAACTTCTAAACCCCTAAATCCTTAATTCCCTAACCCCTAAACCCTATTCCCTATTACAGATCCCTTTATGTTATATACCTTTATCGGATCCCTTTAAAGAAACCCTAAACCCCTTCAAGCCATGACCGCATGACCGAGGCAGCTCGTGAAGTTGGCCGAGGCTTGTGCCAAGCCAGGAACCCGATCGCTGAGATCCGAAGTTAGGGTTCGGGATTGTTTAGAGATGTTTACAATAGGATGCAATATAGTTCAATATCGTATAATATGACATAACATAGTATAGCATAATGTAGCATAAGAACAGATAATCGATAATATAATACCCTAAAACCCTCCACCCCGAAACCCTTTTGCAACTGGGCAGTAAAACCCTGCCCCAGGAACCTGAAACCTTTCTTGAGTCACGGCTTTCCGCCGCCACGATTGACGAAGCATTGTGTTGACGCAAGCAGCACAAAGAAGGTGCAAGAAGGAAGCCGAAAGAAGGATGGCAGCACGACTCAGATTTCAACCCTGTTGCAAACAAATTTCAACCTTTTTTCAGCATGGGCCTGGATTGTGTGCCAGCGAACACTCCTCAACAGCAGGGCCTTCTCGTTTGACAAGGGATGCAAACGGCACCTTAAAACCCTAACCCTGAAGCCTCAAATACTCCACCCTGAACCCTCAAACCTTAAAACCCTAACGCCCTAAAGCCCTAGACCGTAGACCGTGAAAAGCTTTAAATCCTAAAAACCGCTGGAGCCCCTGAACCCTAAGTCCTACCTGGGACCCAAATACACTTCTATACTGTAAATTTGGGGTTTTAGGGTTTAGGGTGTTGAGTTTGAGTGTCAAAAGGCTACGGCTCAAATGTCTTCGCTCAAGCTTTTTTCGATGGATATTACGCTGCCAAGCCTCCTTAGCAGAAGGGTTTGCTCCTTAACAGTTCCTCATCAAAAGATCTCCTATGAAAGGTTCTTTATGAAGGGTTGCCTATCTTGCCCATCCAAGGGTGATTACCAAGAGATCTGTTTGGAGGGATCCGTGCCACAATTCCTGACAGGTTCTTGCCGCAAGCTTCGGTTTTGAAGGCTCCATATGAAGAGGTCCTTATTGAAAGCTTCATTGTCAAGGTTTGGACAGCGGGTTGGGGTTGGGGTTGAGGAATGTAAGGAAAAGCTTCTGGCTTGAGGGCTTTCAATATCCATCGACGCTGCGGGTTCATTGTATATATGTACAACAGCTCTCGCATCACTTCTGGTTTCTTGTGTCTCGGTCTCGTTGCTCAGGTCCAAAGCGGTTGCAGAGACCATCTTGGCCACGGTCGCAAAGGCATGTGCAGGGGCTGGTCTCTGAGAATCTGATGGTCCCAGGCAGCGTTTCTATATCGAATTGTGTAGATTCTCGATTTGGTGCTTGCGTCGACTTTGGATTCATTTGCTCCAGTTCTTGTTCGCAGCAGGGATGTGCTGACCTCTTCGGTCAGTCACGATTGTCTCGCCTAATTGCCGAATGTCTCTAGTCTAGGGGCCTCAATAGTTCGAATAGGGTTTTTGGGGGGTATTATACCACAATTATAACCAGGAGCCCCCGCAATAGTATTGGTAATGATTTAGGCCCCTATAGTAGCATCCCGCAGGGTTTCGACATTCTGGTGCTCTGCCGGAATCGTTGCGGGGATGGGCAGTGATTGAGTGGCGGATTTTGAGGACAGCTTTCCAGACCACTAAATCCTAAACCCTAGACCCAGAGGGAACACACTGGCGGGGCCGTTAATGTGTTGCGTCGAACCTACTTCTGCAGACCTTGCCAGGCTACTCCGAGAGTGAGTGTCAAAAAACCAAAGGTCAACCCC